CAAGGTTTTATTATTTACAAAGCCTAGGGTACTTATTACCTTGCTTTTAACAAAAAAAGTGAATAACTTAGTCTAAATATACCACTAGAATTTTGTTTTAAAAATTTTTATCCAAGGAGTTCTGTAAATAACCATAACATAAAGAGATGGTTATGTTTTTTTAAAATTAGAATTAGAATGTATTAGCCTGTATATTTATAGGAAGATCTTTCCAGGTTTTTGAAAAACTGACCTTGAATGTTTAGACCTCCTTAAGTCTGCTTGCTTATTGGAATTGTAGGTATGTAAAATGGTGCCTGGCTTGTACATGTGAAATGTGAAAGAAAATCATTATGTAATTTATTAATGCTGAAAATTTCCAGACAGTGTTCTGGAATTAAACCATCATCTTAATATCTTTCTCAATTGTAAACTTTGTCTCAGGTGAGAATAAAATCTTCTTCTTAAATAAAACAAGACTTTTCTGTTAATTAAATTGAAGTAAATAGAAACTGACATACAAATAAAAATAATATTCAGGTATAGAAAAAATATATAAAAATGGAGGGAAACTGATACAGATAAAGTAGAAAACTAACAGTGAAAATTCCAAGGGTAGGTGGCATCTGAAGCCCTTGTCCATGCTCTTGCTTCTGTACAGATTCTGAAATCTCAAAATTGTAATTTATAAATAGCTAGTTTAAGTTGCTTTCTGTGTTGTGAGGGTAGAGACTATGGGCTTTTTATCTAGCAGTATTTCCTCATAATCTTTAGCCTATAGCCTGTCTTCACTTTGCTCTCTGAGAGCAAAAGCAAACCATTTTTTATTTGATAACTCTATGTTTCAAGATGAATTTTCTAAAACAACTTTCTTAAGGAAGGGAGATGTATAATATGCCCTATTGGAAGAGGAAATTGCTCTGCTGTTTTGTTGTTGTAGTTTGCCTTTCTGTTTAAGATAACATCTTGTCAAGCTGCCTTAGGACTTAACATTCCTGTGGAGACCTTGTCTCAAACAAAACAAAATTAAGTTTACAAGGTAAATTGACTGGTACTATGTAATAATCCTTAATTTAAAAAGACACTACTTGTGACATTAATCTGTGTTTTGTTTTTCTTCTATTTATAAATATAGTTCTAAAGTATCTATAGTCTTTAATTATCCACTGTCCTTTCATATATTTTAAAATACTGGTTTTTTTTTTTTTTTGGTTTGTTTTTGTTTTTTTTGTTTTTTTTTTTTTTTGTTTTTTTTTTTTTTTGTTTTTACGCGACAGGGTTTCTCTGTATTTTTTTGGAGGCTGTCGGTGTCCAGCCTGGCCTCAAACTCAGAGATCTGCCTGCCTCTGCCTCCCGAGTGCTGGGATTAAAGGCATGCGCCACCACCGCCCGGCTACTTTCTTGTTTTTAAATGATAACAATTCTCATCTTAATAGCTTCCAATAAGTATCAAAGGGGGACTGTGTCTTTTGTTACTTTAATAGAAGATTGCTGTATTTGATGCTCCGATATTAATGTGGGGACATTTAAATAAATGCCTAGACAACACAATGATTTTATGTATTTATATAAGCAACTTACATCTAGCTTAAATCAAGTGTTATACTGAATATAGTATCAATTGTGATATGAGGGTATTTTAACCTGTATAAGTGCTGATAATGGAAGTGATAAATGCAGACTGGTTTAATAGTTAGAGAAACAATACACAGATAATACACAGTATATATCATACCTGTAATTCATTTAGATCTTTTTTAAATAGATCTTTATTTATTATACATACAGTATTCTGCCTGCATGTATGATTGTATACCAGAAAAGGGCACCAGATCTCATTATAGATGGTTGTGAGTCACCATGTGGTTGCTGGTAATTGAACTCAGGTCCTCTGGAAGAGCTGCTAGTGCTCTTAACAACCTCTGAGTCATCTCTTCAACCCCCTAAATCTTTTTTTTAATGTTTATATATTTAGGGAGGCTTTCCCTGACCTATCTAAAAAACAGTTCTTAAAATACATACATACTTTACTTCCATCTTCATTTTATTTGTCATGGCGTTTATTACAAACTGACTTTTTAAATTTAATGTCCTAATTTGAATACAAGTTGTATATACTATATTTCTTTCTTTTTTAATTGTTTATTTTATGTGAATTGGTGTTTTGCCTGCATGAATGTCTTTATGAGGGTATTGGATCCCCTGGAACAGGAGTCACGGACAGTTGTGAGCTGCCATGTGGGTGCTGGGAATTGAATCTGGGTCCTTTGGAAGAGCAGTCAATGTTCTTAGCCACTGAGTTATCTCTCCAGTCCCAGCCAGCCAATGTTTTTTGTTTGTTTTTGTTTTGTTTTGGTATGTTTTGTGTTTTGGTTTTTCGAGACAGGGTTTCTCTGTGGCTGTCCTGGAACTAGCTCTTGTAGATCAGGCTAGTCTGGAACTCACAGAGATCCTCCTGCCTCTGCCTCCCAAGTGCTGGAATTAAAGACTATTTCAATGAGACTTATTTTAACATGGTCATTGTTGCTTATATAATTATGTGAAATTATAATATTGTTTAGATATTTGTTTCTTCAAACACAAATGGTCCTCTGAAAAAGTAATAAGGCACAAATCGTTTGCTTTTCATCTTACGATGAAGAATGGATATCAGTTAAAAAATGAGGCAGTGTTTTCAAATAATAGGGATCGACACTTTGCAAGTTGTAAGCATTCAGCCAATATTTGTAAAATAAATACATGGAATACAGACTATGGAGTGAGTAAGACACAGTTTGGAGTTTTATTTGCTTGAGTCCAGATCCCAGGAATGTTTCCTAGCTGCAGGTTTTTTGATTCCTCTGAGCCTAAAGTATTAATTAAGAAAGGCATATAAAACTTTTAAAAAATTTTCTAGTAATAGTCATTCACTACTTGTTGGATATTGCCATTATTACTAATATTACTCTGACATGAGTAATGGTGAAGTCAATGCCTTTGGTAGTAAGAAGATCCAAGTAAGGTTATTAATCCAGATATGGGAGGCTATGGTGGTAGGATCGAGAGTTTAAATTCTGCTTGAACTACAGAGTGAACTCAGAACTTTGTGAGACTATCTCAAAGTAAAAAATTTAAAAATGGGTATGGGAATATAGCTGAGTAATAGAACCCTTACCTATCATGTACTTGGCCATAGATTCAGTTTTCAGTATGGAGGAGGAAAAGTAACACAAGTTTTTAATGCTATTAAAAGAATTTAAGACTTTAGTATACCACGGCATCAATGTTTATATGAAGGATAGTGTATTTGAGGCTGGCACAATACCTTGGCTCTCATGTTTCCAGAGTAATAAGCCTTAGGGAATCATGAGGCAAGCTAATTTCCCTTAATAGAGCCAACTCAATTTGGTAGGGCATTTGAAGAAGCTTGTTTTCCAATGGAATTATATGGTATGTTCAAATACCTGTAAACTAATGGTTCATACCAAAAAGAATCTGGCTGAATCCAGCCCTTTAACAACCGAGTTAAAAATAATGGGGATTTTTTAATTACTTTGTTTGTGTAATTTGACTTTGTCACTGGTTCCATTAGCCTTTGGATTGCAAGGCTTGAACACCTTGTATGGAAAAAACAAAATTAAAGCTATTAGGGTAAAATTCCTTCTAGCTTTTATATAACACTCTTCTACAGTGCTATGCTTCCCAAGTAGGCTTGCATCACCACAAACCCAACTGAAAAAGTATTAATGTAAACATATTTTAAGCATTCACTGAAGAAGTAATCAATTTGGCTGACTTATTCTGGGGAAGTAAGGGTGGATAGAAGTGAAGTAGAAAGCATATAGTAGAAGTAACATTGAATTTGGCACTGGAATATTCAAATTCTATTTTTTATGCTCCCATTAATTGGACCATTACCTAGTAGGACGTAGACAATGTCTTATTCTAGGTGTTCAAGTTAATGCATTATTAGCACTTATTGGACTGGACATCTACTAGTCAACCTTGAATTAATACTTTTCATGTGAATGTTCAAAAATATAAAAGATACAATGGAATATGTTTATGCTAAGAAATGCAGTAATAAATACTAATGGAAGAAAACAGAACAATTCCCCATTGATACATTGTCATGAACGAAGACTTTGCCAGCCTCTCCACCCAGATAAATGTCTATGGCCCCTTTTGTTCATATACCTTTAGAACCAGTCCTTTGAGAAGACTTTCCCAATTGGAAGAAGAGAATGAGAAGCACCGAAGTGCACATTGATCATGGCTTTATTTAAAAATAGTAAATAATACTGTACAGAAATTGATAATATAAATTTCAAAAATGCTGAATTTTAGATTTAGTTGGTAAAGACCACAGTTACAAGCAAATCAGCATGAGTTTAGCCTTCCTTGTAGAAACCAGATACACCAAACTGAGGAAAAAAATTTTTTAAAAAGCTTATTGATATTTGAAAAATACTAATTAAAGTATATAATTATAAAAACTAGAGTCTTTAATAAGAGAATTGGTTCCTTTTTCCTCTATATGCAAGTTATTGGTTGTTCTATAGGATTTAAACACTAAAGCAGCTATTTAGGAAAAGGGGAATATATTACAAGTACATTAAATATAATTATGTTTTAGGAAGATATAAAATATTAAAAATTAAAAATTAACAACAATATAAAAGATAAAGATTACTATGTCTAGCGTGGTTTATATAATAACTACTATGTCTGAGTAAGTGGTTTGTTTAAACAGGTGATAAACAGTTCTACTGTTTGTACCCTCTTCTCCAATAGCTTAACATTTCTGGCCAGATAAAATGGGATTTTTATGCTGGTTCAGTTGCCTCCCCAAATCACTGCTTTATTTCTTTTACATTAAAAATTTAACCACCAAATTCTGATTACTAACATCCCATCTCTTTTAAGCTAAGGCCAAATTAGGATGATCTCTTGTTTCCATTCCTTGAATGTAAATGTATTATTATAGATATTGGAGACTCCCAATTTTTTGGAAAGATCGATTTGTTGGGTTTTTTTTCCTCAAGAAATAAGAGTGTACCACAAATTGTATGTCATCCTTATGCAGGAGCCATTCTAATATATGGCTGTGTCACTCCAATTTTAGTCTGTGTTGCCGAAGCAAGCCTAAAAAAGGTTTACTTTCACAGAGTCTAGTTGTTTGTGTCTATATCAACCTGTTGTCAACAACAAAAGGCTATTCTGTAAGTTTAGGTTGTTCTTAGTACCCATATCTTTTTTTAAATTTATTTGTAGTTCATTGGTGTTTTGCCTGCATGTATATTTCTTAGATGGTATTGGATCTCCTAGAACAGGAACTATAGACAGTTGTGAGCTGCCATGTGGGTGCTGGGAATTGAACCTAGGTCCTTTGCAAGAACATGTTGCCAGTGCTCCTAACTGCTGAGCCATCTCTCCAGCCCCGATACCCATGCCTTAAAGTAGCATGGGAAAGGCATTTTAAAAAAAAAATCTCTGTGAGATAGATGGCCAAGCATAATCTTAAGCAATCTTTCTCATGAGTAAGTAAAAGAATTACTGTATTTCTGCCCAACACCTGACATCTTAGACTACTTGCTTAGTAGTGATAAATATGAGCCAGAAATTACTGGTAGTTGCTTTGAGATAGCCGTTAGAATTGGTGCTTTTATTGTTTTGTTTTTCAAGACAAGGTTTGACCAGGCTAGCCTCGAATTCACAGAGACATGCCTGCCTCTGCCTTCAGAGTGCTGGGATTAAAGGCATGAGCCACCATGCCCAGTGAATTAGTACACATTTCTAAACTTTAGAAATTTTGTTTTGTCTTTTGTTGTTGAGTCTTTGTTGTTGTTGTTGCATTTATTTTGTATTGGGGGACTAATGCATCACTGAGGCATGTTTGTGGAGGTCAGAAGACAACTTTCTTTTCCTTCCAACATTCGGGTCTAATGGATTTAATTCCAGTCAGGCTCAGTGGCAAGTGGTTTTACCCATTGAGTCGCCTAACTGTCCTTAGAGTAGAAGTACTTCCACCAAATAACATCCAAACCTTACTATACTATCAGTGATTGAAACCTTGGTAAATGCTGTGCTCTTTTGAATTTATACCATTACAAAGGATACGGTCTTACTCTGTTACCCATTATAACAATGCCACAAGCTTTTTTCCCCTATATTAATACTGTGAAGCAAAATTTAACAACACTTAAATTCAAAGTGGCTTTTATTTGGGTTCATAAGAATTTTTTTTCTAGGAAACGTCTGCACATGTGAAGGCTTTTCATAGGGAAAAGAAATAGAAACATTTGCTGCTTTTGTATAACAATTCGCTATGAGGGAGTAGAAAGCAGTTTAATATCAACACACACACACACACTCACACACACACTCACACACACACTCACACACACACTCACACACACACACACACACACACACACACACACACACACACACACACACACCACACCACACCACACCACACCACACCACACCACACCACACCACACCACACCACACCACACCACACCAGGAGCTGAACTCAGGGCTTCATGCATGCTCAGCAAGCATTCTACCACTGAACAATATCTCCAGTCCTAATATTATCACTTTTTCAATTGATAAACACAGGAGCTATTGTGCATATTTTCAAAAAACAGATTTCTTTCTTCTTTCTTTTTCTTTCTTAAATGTACATGAGTGTTTTGCCGGCATTTATTTCTGTGCACTACTTGTGCATCTTTTGCCCATGGAGACCAGAAAAGGATATCAGAGTCCCTGAAACAGAAGTTATATATACATATATATATATGGTTGTGAGCTGCTATGTAGGTGGTTGGGATCAAACCTGAGTCCTCTGCAAAAACAACCAGGGAAAGTGTAAGTTAATTGGATAACCACTAGTGCTCTTGCTTGATGATTACACTAAATTTATTCTGTTGACTGAGTTCAATCTTTTCCCTCACTTTTAAATAAAGTACAATAGTGACATACTATTTGTGATTTATTGAAGTTTGCCTGAGGATTCAGAAAGAAGAGTCAACCACAAACCATAGAAGGTATGCACATACCTTTAATCCCAGCAGCCAGAAGCTAGGAAGTGGTGGTACACACCTTTAATCCTAGGACTCAGGATTAAGAGGTAGATGAGTCTCTCTGAGTTCAAGGACACCCAGGGATACACGAGATTGAATCAGTCTAAGAGTAACAGATCACACACCTTTAATCCTAGCACTAGAAAAGTATAAAAGTTAAGAAGCAGGGACTTCAGCAATCAGTAGAGGCATTCATTCTCCAGCCACAGTGAGGAGAGGTTACAGTCTGAAGCTTGGTGAGGGCTTGTGGAGACAGGATCAGCACATTCAGCCTGAGGTAGAGATAAGAAGCTAGTGGCAGTTCCTTTGCTTTTCTGATATTTAGCTTCAAGTTTGAATCCCAGTATCAGTCTCAGGGTCTTTTTATTTTTCATACTAAAATAAAGTATAGTTTCAACATGATTGGTGTGAAAGAAGTGTTTCAGTAGGTAGGCATCTAGTGTTACATACAGGAATGCCTCCAAGGTAGATTTCAAAGTCAAGGAGGCAGAACTTTTGGGTGCAGTAGGTGGAGCTTTGAGCAAATAAAAGTCTTCATGCTTATCCAAGGATGTATTACTATTGCAGGAAAAGCAGAAGAAACTACTAGCAGCATAATTGTTGCCCTGTCTTTGAGAATGTGGATTATATCCACAGAGCCAATCTAAATAGATTGTTGGTTGAGTAGAGCAAACTCAGAGTTGGAAAGCATGGCTATTAAACAAGAAACTACGCTCCAGTCTGACTTTTATATTTGTCTTCCTTATGCTGTGGGCTAAGTTGTTCTGGTGGTTTATATTTCTGTTTGCTTTCCTTTAATTTTTCTCTAAATTCTAACAAACCTTTTTTGCCTTTGCTGATGGATTTTATGAAGACAGATTTTTGCTCAGTATTTGTTATTGTAAATTCTCATTGCTGCTGCTGCTCTCAAAAGGATTGTATAAATGAGGTAAGAATTTCTGGTCTCTATAAGGGCATATTGTAGGCTTTCTGATGATGTACACAGGAAGCTTCACTTAAACTGCTGAAATTATTTAATCTTCTGTGGTTTATTCAGTATGGGGAAGTATGTTATCCTAACATTTAAACTTAAGCTTTGAGACAATTCCTGACAATTTTTAAGAAATTGAAGATTGAGGCAAAGTTTCTGTGTTTCCAGCAGATTAGTTAACCATAAACATACAGAATTTAAAGAAGTTACAGTCTATTAAATTGTTTAATTCAAATAAAACAACACATATGATAACATTTATCTTAGATGTGGAGTCAAAAGTTTCACATTTTTATACTCTATATGATTGTTACAAAAGTGACTTTGAGACACTATCTCAAAACAAAATGAGAAGGTACACAATTTTATGTCACTATTCTCCCATGTTTGAATGTTGAGACATGATTGCCCAAAGATAGAACCTGTGAATTGAAACAAAAAGCAAGAATACGTTTAGAGTTAAGTTACCAATTCTGAATAAAGCTTAGTTTTTGTTTTTGTTTTTGTTTTTTCTTTTAAGAGTAACTCAGCTTTTATATCTCAGTATTCTTTTTGGTTTTGTACTTTCTAACCTTATTTTTTTTAAAAAGGGGAAAATACATTTGCTCTTACTGGTTGGAACAGGACCAAGTAGAACTGAGGAGTAAAGAAAAGAGGTTGGTTTTGTATGACTTCTAAGTGAATCTTCATTTTTATTGAAATACACACGTTAAAAAGAAACAAGATGAAATTTTATCACAAAAACATTTTGTTATTACTGTGTTTTTTCTGGTGCTAAAATCATGTTTTAGAATAATCTAGACCAACTTTTAAACTATCAGTTATTAAGTTCTTATATCTTAAACACACATACACACACAAAACAGTGTGATGTGTATCTCAAAAAACTTGCTATGGGCATATTCCTACCTAGTATCTCAGATGGCACCCTTGTAGGTAGGTTGCTTTCATGACAGTAGAGGTTTGTACTCATACCATATACTTTACTTGCCTATTAATACTAAATTTATATTCTTTTTTTTTTTTTTTGGTTTTTCAAGACAGGGTTGTTTTGGAGGCTATCAGTCCAGCCCAGCCTCGAACTCACAGAGATCCGCCTGCCTCTGCCTCCCGAGTGCTGGGATTAAAGGCGTGCGCCACCACCGCCCGGCTAAATTTATATTCTTACACATTATTTTTTAAACACTTTTCTGGGCATTTTTATAGTCTTGGCTGACTGGTATGATTTTTATTTACTTTTCCTATATCTAGGTGGGTAGAAGTCTTAATCTTTTGATATCAACTGGTGAACTAATAGGAAATATCTCAGTTTTATTGGCTACCTTGCCATTTACAATACATTGTCTAAGGCCACAGTAGCTTCTGGGTGTAACACAAAAAAAAAAATTAAGACCCTGAGACTGATACTGGGATTCAAACTTGAAGCTAAATATCAGAAAAGCAAAGGAACTGCCACTAGCTTCTTATCTCTACCTCAGGCTGAATGTGCTGATCCTGTCTCCACAAGCCCTCACCAAGCCTCAGACTGTAACCTCTCCTCACTGTGGCTGGAGAATGAATGCCTCTACTGGTTGCTGAAGTCCCTGCTTCTTATCTTTTATACTTTTCTAGTGCTAGGATTAAAGGTGTGTGATCTGTTACTCTTAGACTGATTCAATCTCGTGTATCCCTGGGTGTCCTTGAACTCAGAGAGACTCATCTACCTCTTAATCCTGAGTCCTAGGATTAAAGGTGTGTACCACCACTTCCTAGCTTCTGGCTGCTGGGATTAAAGGTATGTGCATACCTTCTATGGTTTGTGGTTGACTCTTCTTTCTGAATCCTCAGGCAAGCATTAATAAATCATAAATAATATATCATTACACTGGATATGTTTCATTACATTCATAAGGAACCATCTGTATCTAACTTGTAGATATAGATTTAAACAACAGTATAAACTAATGCATTTGAGGATATGCTATGCACAATTGTTAGTTTTGCATTATCTTCCATTTATTTTAATAGCTAGTAGATGTGTATATATGTTTGCATGAGTAGGATTAATAGAATGACAATTTAGGATCATCAGGGATCAAAGCAG